AAATTATTAGAAAGTTCGATTTAAAATCTTGATCATTCATCATTTGTTTCCGCAAAGTTTAATAATGGGTTTTGCCAACTCCAAGGATACCCTCCCGTGGGTTGAGACGCCGATTGAGAAAAAGGAAAAGCACTCTCGACGCGTAACATCGTTAGTTCCAGATTCTATAAGTGGAGACTCTTACGATTCTAACAACTCAACAGCTATTATTGTTAACAAGATGCTAAACGACGCTGAACGAAAGTTAATATCCCCCGATTATATGCAATCCGTGGACCTATTACAGGTACGAAGTACTTAATATATCGTATAACGAAGAAATTTATACAAAAACATGTATAAACCTTGTGAACCTTTTTCTCTTTTTTCACATCTAGCAAGCGACCATATTCGGTTCGGCATTTGCCTCCGCCAAACTCGCTAAATTATATCTCGAAGGATTTAACTCTATTGAATCAAATTACAAGATAGCGGCTGCATATTACTCCATCGCACTTAAGCTAATATTAATGATTCCACATAATTTATGGGAGATGTGTCTTTTATTCGAAATAATCGTCGGCTGGAACGAGTTATGCCGGTTTCATTTCCATCGCAAGCACGATTTTCATCTCTGGTCTCACGGAATAAAGCTCATGAAACGAATCGATCAAAAACTACAAGATCCAAGTTTTAATAAATTTCTTACGCGCGAAGAAGATCAAATGCGTCAAGCTGCGCGAATTCATATCGTTTTCTGTTTTGCTTTGACCTCACAAGTTGACTGCGATTATGAAACTGCTTTAAAAATGTTTCAGGATTGTGAAAGAATAGGATACTGCGGTTTTTCTATGGCAGATAAATTAGTCAAAAAGGCGCACACGCAACGTAGGTTATTAGAATCGCGGGTGCCCCGTGTACAACCAATTTGTGTTCAATGCAATTATGAAGCGAAAGAGTTAAAGGAGATTTGGAAGTTACTTGTTTGTTCGAAGTGTCAGGTCGCTGCCTGTTGTAGCAGGGAATGTCTAATCAAACATCATTCGGATCACGAAAATAGTAGAGACACCACTTCTTAATAGTGATATAATATTGAATTATTAAAATTTTTCAGCAAAATTATTTTTTTACATTTATTAATAAAAGTAGCGAAATCCTTGTGCGTAGTAGAAACTTCTATTCTGTTGTCATCATGTGAATTTTCTTGTTAGGACCTATTAATTCGATTTTATTTTTCCCACAAGGTGGTTTAGTTAGACTCTACTGTGAAACCCTTTATCTTTTCCGAGGCGTAATATTTTATATTAAGGATGAAATTAGTTTACAATACAACAGATGCATAAGCGGACGGCCCTGATTTTTCAAGAGCGACTTCACCAATATGTACAATTACGTTAGTTTATGAGATAGTCAACTATTTCGCCTAAAACCTATTATTGACATGTATTGTTGTCTCATTTCTTATTCTGGCTCGATTAACGTAACTGACTTTTCAAGTGGGCCCAAATTGGCGCATATGGGATGATCAAGTACATTGACACACCAAAAGAAAAACGAGCCATTTACAATTAGCACTTATAAAGCAGATAGATGGTTTGATTAGATTAGGCAGAACGTTGGTTGAAATAATTCACAAAGGTGGTACATTTTTTTTTTCTATTGTTTCTTAACAGCGAACGTATTTATTTTGCATAGAAAGTATTGCCCACGGTATTACAACATTGCATAATACCTCCATCCGTTAAGATTTTCTTTATCTAATCAGTTTCTGATCTGATTAACGGATTTATCAATCGTTGTAACAACGAAGCTGTTGTATAAAATAAATGAAATGTCGACAATCAAGAACTTTAGCTGACATAACCAACTTAGAATACAGTATATGTTTCTAATATATTTTGAGATATCTAAAATTGATAATACAGTATTTATTTTATTTATACGATTCAAATTTAAACCATTATATCATTACTTAATTTTATAATTTAAAAATTTTTTTGAAATATATATGATTTAAAATTTAGTTGCTTATAGAAATTTACATTTGGTTTTTTTTATGTTGAAATATGTAATATAAACTTATTTAAAAATCCCCAAAAAAATTTTAGATAATAACTTGTGAATTAATACACTAGTTGAAATTATATCATTTGACAGTTGAATTATTGTTGAATTTGATTAAATTTAATAATAAAAATATTGCTGAATTCTTTTTTATTACTGTCACTTGGCATATTACTATTTTGGTAATAAAGTGATAATAAAAAATTTGTCAATTAAAAATTTATCAATTAAAAGTTAATAATAAATTGTCAAAAAATTCACTAATAAATTTTCAAATAATTTATTAATTATTTAACAAAAATTCATTAATAATTCAATAAAAGTTTATCATAAAATTATTTATTAGTAATTCAATAAAAAATTCAATATTAATTATTTATTTATTTATCAAAAATTTATTAATAGTTTATTAATAATTCATCAACTATTCATTAAAACTATTAATTAAAATTTGATAGTTATTTATCAAAACTATATATTAAAATTTTATCAACTATTTATTAAAAAATCAGTAATATTTATCAAAACTATTTATTAAAAATTTATTAATCATTCATTAAAAATTTGATAACTGTTTATCTATTATTTAACAAAAATTTATAAAACTTGTAAAAATAATTATTTATATTTATAAATAATTTAATATTATTTATATAATAA